CCCGATGAATGTGATTTTAGAAAATATTGTCCAATGGAATTATCAACAGTTGGAAGATATGCATAACTAAGTGAACTTTAAATTTTCCGGATGACCAATGCATGATGTTAAAAATCATGAGTGAGTAAAAGATTTAACTAAAGGGTGTATGTAGACTTTTGTTTTTAACACAATGTAGTACAGTGTGTCATCCGTATGATCTGAGAGTCTAAATTTGCAGCTAATTTTAAGAATCTATCACCTATCAAATTTGATATAGTGTCCGAAAATATTGACCAATCTATAAAAATATTTTATATACTCTTATCTTTTCTAGCTATGTATTTGTGTAAAGCCTAGTTTTCTTCATATGTATGAACCAAAACATTATATATGAACAGATTTAATGCATAAACTACTTTTATGAAGCCAGACATTAAAGAAGTTTGCAAAATGTAAAACAGTGCCCCTTTCCAAAGTAATATTTTGGAGAAATAGAGTTGTTTTTCAATGTAACATAATGGGGTTTGGTAAAATGAATTATTATATACTGTTTTTTCTTTGTCTCAATTTGAATATGGGAAATGTTGATAAAATAGTGCACATAAACAAAAGGTCTTTGGGATTCTCAGGTAAAGTCGTCTGGAGACTGCAGAGAATTGTGGGACTAGACCAACTGAGTACGTGGTGATACATGTCTAGAGATAAAGGCGGAAGGGGGAGCTAGAGTCGTGGGAGGATGGGGGCAGGAATCTTCTCCTCATGTGGAGGGGTCAGGAAGGCCGTTGGACATAGGAGCAGGAAACTTAGAACCCAGGCCACAAGTCTAGGGTGGCGACGAGAATTTTGGAAAACCGCATGAAAGTGGCATGTGAAGGCATGGGGCTGATGGGGAGGACTTAACGAAAGAATGTAGGTTTTTAAGGGAAAAGAAAACCGTGGAGAAATTGCAGTCTTGGAGCACTCTGACCTACAAGTCAGAACAAAAGGGCACCCAAGGAAGAGTAGCCCTAATGTCCGAGAAACACAAGAGAATCTGGTATCACAAACAGTTTTAGGAAAAATGGATAGTCTGTTGTGATGAAAGGCGTTAAAGTCAAGTCAGAGGAAATCGGTGAGGGTCCTTTTAACACTTAGCTACATTGTTCCGGAGCTTAACTGGTGCTCTCGCTTGTGGTTATGCCCACTGCTACTCCTATAACATGAATTCCCTGGACAAAATTAATATCACACACACATATACATATATATATATTTCTCCATCTGACACCCGTGTTTTTAGCCTAATCTTTTACTACAAACTTCCCCACTCCTCATCGCCCACCCCCTTAATTTAGAATAGATGTGCTATACTTTTATGTATTTTAATGTAGTCTTTAGTATTCCTAGGAGCCCTGGTGGCATAGTGGTTGTGCATTGGACTGCTAACTGCAAAGTCATTAATTCAAACCCTGCAACCACTCTGCGGGAGGAAGATGAGGCTCTCTACTCTGTCTTCTAGGGTTGCTGGGGGTTGGAATCTCCTCACTGGCCGTGCTGTTATGTTGTTTCTTGTTTCAGAATTCTTCACCTCTATGGTTCATTAAAACCATGCTAATTTCCATCTATTATTTGAAATCCAACTCAGTTCACACTTTCTGTAGGCAGCCTGTATTTTTTTGAAAATTGTTTACCAAATTTGTTAAGTTTGATGATAGATTTTCTCACAATTAACTTTATACTTATTAAATACTATGAATAAATGTTTGCTGTTTTTGTGGCATTCATTTATCCATCCGTTCAATATTTACCTAGCCACTCATTTTATGTCAAGTGCTGACATACTTGACATTCAAGCATTGAGGATATAGCTGTGGGTGACAATGATGGGTCACTGCTACATGGAACTTATAAACTTCATATGTTCAAATGTTATTGCTCAGTTTTGGTATTTGATCATATGTAAACACTAAAATATTCTAATTCTGTAATAGCATTAAGAATCTAAAGCTATGGATATGTGTTAGATATGATTTAAAGAATAGCTTATTTATCTAACCGTTTTCTCATGGACAGTCTTTTGAACTGCTCTGTGGATAACAGCTGGGAAATACTGATTTTAATGAGTTAGTTTTGCAATAAAAATTAATTCAGTTTATTACTATGATTTTCTCTTTTTCCACTCTCTCTTACTTGAATCCAACCATATATGCAATCTTAGTGATCTTTATATTAGAAGCATAATATGTCCTGACCAAATGGATTTATCCCAGGAATACAAGGCAACTATAACATTTGGAAACGGATCAGTGTAATTCAGCATTCTACTCCTGTAAAGAGTTACAGTCTTGGAGACCTGAGGGGCACTTCTACCCTGTCCTGTATTTTGCTGAGTTGCCACCAATTCAGTGGCACTGAGTTTGTTTTTGATAGGAGGAAAGAAGCACATATAATCATCTCAGCATGCCCAGAAAAAGCGTTTGATAGAAATCCAACATGTACTTATAAAATAGCTGAAGCAAAGAATAGAGGAGACAGTCTGATAAAGGGCATCTCTAAAAATGTACAAGTAATATTATATTTCCTTAAAATTAGGAATAAGTAAAGGATGTCCACTCTTACCACTTTTATTTATTGTACTAGAGGTTCCAGACATTGCAGCAAGACGAGAATAAGATATAAAACACATGCACATTAGAAAAGAAGAAGTAAAACTGTGTTCACAGAGTATCTGATTTTCTATATGGAAAATATACTGCAATCTGTAAAAGATCAGCATACAGAAATGAATTGTATTTCTGTATACTAACTAAAACAAATAGAAATTTAAAAAAATCTACATTGTATAAAATTCTTAGAAAAAATCTGGGAGTGAGAAAGCAAATGTTTTGAGAATGAGAATGGAAACAAATGTACAAATGTGCTTAACAAAATGTATGTATAAATGGATTGTGATAAGTGTTGTATGAGCCCCCAATAAAATGAATTTAGAAAAAAATCTACAATAGCATCAAATTATATAAAATTCTTAGAAAAGATCTGGGAGTGAGGGGGATGTAAAAGATCAGTATATTTGAAAGAGAGCCTAGTATGAATAAATGGGTTATCCTATGTTCACGCATTGGAAGACCAATATTGTTAAAATGCCAGTTATCCCCAAATTGATCTATAAACCTCACTGCCACTGAGCTGATTCTAACTTGTCACACCTTGTAGGACCGAGTAGAACTGCTCCAAAGAATTTCCAAGGATATAAATCTTCATGAGAGCAGACGACCTCATCTTTCTCCCTTGGAGTGACTGGCGACTTTGAAATGCCAACTGTTTGTGGTGCTAAACCTACTGCACTGCCTGGGTACCCTGACTTATAACCAGTAGTCTTCAGATTGATGCTGCGTTTTGGTGACTTGTGTGTGGCAGTGTAGAACTGTGTTACCTAGTACCTGCTGTGGCTGACTTTGTGGAAGTAGATTTATTTGACAGATGGTTCTTCCAGGGCACTTCTTAGAAGACCTAAATCTCCAACCTTTCTGCATTGGCATTTAGACTGTGGAACATTTATTTTAAATGCAATGCCTTAGGGGTTTGAAAGAAGAAATGCTACTACTCTTTGCCTCCATGTGTATAGATATTGATAAATATGAGGATGGGACCCAGTGTACTGATAAGCCAGAACTATGAGAACACAAGAGGCAGCTTTTGTTCACCTATACAGTTTTAGTTATAAAATAACACATAAAAAAGCCTACACACCCCACCCCCCCATCATGACCCCAATTACACCTTACAAATCTGGCTAGACCAGAGTATGTACATGGGCACAGATAAGAGCTGGAAACACAGGGAATCCATGATGGATAAGCCCCTCAGGACCAATAATGAGAGTAGTGATACCAGGAGGGGAAGGGGAAGGTGGGGGAGAAAGGGGGAACCAATCACAATGACCTATATATAACCCCCTCCCAGGGGGATGGACAACAGAAGTGGGTGAAAGGAGATATCGGTCAGTGTAAGACATGAAAAAATAATAACTTATAAATTATCAAGTGTTCTTGAGGGAGGACCGGGCTGGAGGGGAAAGAAATGAGCTGATACCAAGGGCTCAAGTAGAAAGAAAATGTTTTGAAAATGTTGATGGCAACAAATGTACAAATGTGCTTGACACAATGGATGCATGTATGGATTGTGTTAAGAGATGTATGAATCCCCAATAAAATGATTGAAAAAAAGAGAGCCTGCAGAAACACTTGATATTTGTATTAAAATCACTGTACAAATGCGCTTTACACAATTGATGTGTGTATGGGTTGTGATAAGAGTTGTAAGAGCCCCTAATAAAATGATTTAAAAAAAAAGTTGTACGAGTCCCCAATAAAATGATTTTTTTTAAAAGAAAAAAAAATCACTTGGTATTTGTATTAAAATCATTGCAAAAGTAGCTTGTGGAAAGCAAAGCTTGTGCCTTATATGTATTTGAATTTTATGTGTATTGTTAAGTACCTGGCATATAATTGACTTTCACCATATGTTTACTGAATTAATGGGTGTTTTGTAATCATAAGCAAAATATGTACCCAAGAGTAAACATCCTCATATGAGGATTGGCCTTTTAAATCTTACTATCATCAAACAAATGATAAGCATGCAAAATGAAAATACTAACATTTTTAAAATGTGAAGATGAGGTATTATTTTAGGGATATAAAACATTGAGCATGACTAACTATAGGAAGGTAATCATGGCAATTATCTTCTCATATCGGACAGATATGAGATCTGTGAGCGATCATTGAGAAGAGAGGATTCCATCCTGGGGATTAAGTGGGAGGAAAGTTTAAGCACATAATGCTACTTAAGGGGAGTGGAAATGTTGGGGCTGATGAACAGTTGTGCGAGTTAAACAGAGTTTGGATTTAGCTGATGGCAGAGTGTGGGGTATCAGTAATTGTTGAAGCATCAAGTAAGTCTCCAGGACCTCTGTGCATGCATGAGGCATCTGATGAGCTTCCGTTATTTACCCTCCCACTGTACACTTTTTGCAGGATTCTGAAGTTCCTGGTGCATCAGACAATGGATGAGCAATCACAGGGAATGCAAGGGCCACCTGTTCCTCAGTTCCAACCACAGGTAATGTGTTCTCATCAGGACTGGCATCAATCTATTTGAAATATAGGAGAGGAAGTACAAAAGTAGGCATTTACATTTCCTTTAAGAAATAAGGTAGCCCCCAAATACTGATTACAGCTTTCCAAGTTTTCCGCAGAATTATTTCTTTGCTTTAAAGTGCTGTTTTATAATACTTAATTTTCATGTACAAACATGAAGGAGGGGCAGGAAGGACAACCATTAACTTTGAGTGACATATAGGTGTTGGGGTTAATATTAGGCTTAATGAAAAAACGAAAAATACCCAACTGCCCCCAAGCCAATTCTGACTCATAGCAATCTTATACAGGGTTTCAAAATTGATATAGCTTTACAGGAGCAGACAACCTCTTCCTTTTCCCAAGGAGTGGCTGTCGGGTTTGAACCATCAACTTTGCGGTCAGCATGACTTAACCGTAGGCTTAGGGAGAAGAAAGAAAGCTGAGGTTGCACACAGGCTGTGGGAGTTCCCTGTGTGTTTCCCTGCCTGGCTGGTCCTGCCCTGCTGTCGCGATCTGCATTGTCACGCCCTGCGCGCTGTTCAGTGTCTCTTTCCTGTTAGATGCTCATTTGTCTTAAAGTGAAGTAAAAAAGGATGGTTTCAGTAAAAAATGGACACCCATTATTAATTCACTATTTAGCACCCTGCATTCATTATGAATGCCTGTCATAAAGCTCAGGATAATGACATTTTAAAAATAACAGAAGCCCCTGTGTAGGCGCAGCCCCTCATTTTCATTGTTCAGACAGACCGTATTTCTCAGCCTCATATTTGAGGCATCCTGAAATATGCCTGACATTTGCTCTGCTACCATTGTTGCTCCAGTGTAGCTTAGCTCAATATTTTAAAATCGTTTGAGAAATTAATGATTTTTCAAATGAGTTTTGTAGCCAAAATAGACTTGGGAGACTGGCATAACAGATTCTTTACTGCCATGTTGTTTCCAGAGTTTTAAGAAGGTGATAGAGAGTGTGTAGTGTTGACCAAATTTATTTAACTATTGTACTCTCATTTTTGTTTTTTTAAGCCCATATATTGACTCCTTTCAGAATCAGTATTCTGTAAAGCACCGTTTAGAAAAATACTGCCCAGAAAAATACCTTCTTCTACTCCTGTGATTTTTCTTATTTTGTCTTTTTCATTGTCCCCTCCATTAAAAAAAACAAAAAAACCTGCCTATCTTTCAAAGAACATCTAAAAATGAGTGATCTTTTATTTCCTTGGGAATTGATGATACTGTTTTTGGTGTTTCTTTTCCGATACTCAGAACACTTGTACCATTTCTATCAGGGCAGTTTCCTTATTGCGCCTATTAGGGGAGCTCTCCTTGAGGAACTGACTTACTTTTTCACATGTGGAGGCTCAGTAAGAGCCTGCAATTGAAGCAGATTTGGATGTCCTTACGTTAGCCCTAATCTAAGTTAAACTTAATTACTCTTAATTTAAACCTTATTGCAGTTTTAATTCCTTGTCTTCCTTATACCTGCCTGAATTCTCTGTATTGAGTAGAGATATTTTAAAGTAAGGTCAGTGTTTTAATTTGAAATGACAGTATTTTGTTTTTTAAATGTACCATCTTTCTTTTGCATTCTGCCTTACATTTTACTATCAAGATTATAATAAGCAAATTCGATCTCTCATCCATAGACATAGTGCCAATTTTCACACACACACACACACACACACACACACACGCTCTTCTGTATTACATTATATCTAGTTGAAGGCAGTAAAAGAAACACTTCTAAAAATTGGGTCGTTTATGTTATGATTTTGAAATTCACAGTTTTTCACAGTCCTGTGTTTCAAAGGAACAAAATAAGCACTTTCATTTTTGCTTCCTACTGGCTTACCAACCAGGAAAGGTCAGAGTGGTGGCGGGAGGCAGGAATGAATTAATTGTTTTCCTAAGAGACTGGGGTTGCCACACAGCATACATTTCAGAATTACGGGAGTGGCTCTGCATTTCTTTTCACGCTGCCCCTTTCGTGTTTGCCCCCTGCTGCTGCTCCTGTGTTGGGAGACCTCTTTCCCTGTTGGAAATAGGCAAGTGTCATCCGGGATCTAGCTGTCTTGTGGTGAGCAGGGTAAGGGAGAAAGATTTCTTTTCCACCCCCTCTTCTGCATTCAGACTGATGTTGTGAGACAGTGAAAGACCAGAGCTTATAGGCGTCATTGCTTATTAAGTCTTTGAAAAATGTTACTGCTCTCAGTAGCATTATTTTAAAAGACTGGGAAAGGACAGCTCCTGCCCTGGGTTGACAACCTCCTTTTGTTTTGTTCCACACCATTGGCCTGAATAATGGGGGCGATATGGCAACATATGGTTAGCCAAGTGACTTCTTTCACTTTTGTAATGCTAATGTAAGCTTGGACTTACACAGGCAGCACAGGAAGTCAGCTTTCTTAGTGTCAAATACCAATTCCCCGTTCTAATGATGAGTGATGTATGTTCTTGGCATAGCCTTTTTTCCTTGTTCTGAGGCGACTGCTCCAACCCCGTAATGCTCAATATGTGCTCTCATTTCCTGGGCAGTGTACTTTCTTGTTTTGTAAACTTTAAGACGCTATCTTGACTATTTTTGTTTGGCTTTCTTTCTCTTGATATTAGAGAAAGATTTTCCTCTCCCAATTTTTTCCCTCCCTCCCTCCCTCTTTCCCACCTTGCCTCCTCCCTCCCTTCCCTTTTTTCCTTCAGCAAAGTCTCTAACAGGCACTGAGAAGACATTTGGACTCGATCTTTATGCTCTGTATCTTCATTGCCTTGGATTCTTGCTTGTGGAATAACAGATTTAACAGATTTTTTTTTTAAACAGACTGTAGGAAAGGTGATAACAGAAATAAAATATTTACCTTTTACTATGAGATTAATTTTAAGTTGTGGAAAGTTTTGGGTAACGTTTTGAGAGTTCCTTTGATTTATGAAAACTGAAGATAGCTGTGATGTGGTCACTCTTTTAACATATAGTTAAATATAAAAGTTATCGGGTACATGTCTGAGAATTTCTGGAAATAATTAGAAGGAGGGTTAGTAAACTTATCAGAGGCTTATGTTTTGCATTTTCTGGACATTTAAAAAGATCTAGTCTTCCTTTCAGGAGCCTTGGTGGCGTAACAGGTTGTGCATCGAGCTACTGGCCGTGAGTTCAGCAGCTCAGACCCCCCACCCCCCCACCCCCCATCACTCTGTCCCTGTCAGGGCTTCCGGCCTTGGAAACCAAAAGGGGCCAATGCCACTCTGCCCTAGAGGGTCTCTATGAGTCACCGTTGATTTGATGGCAGTGAGTTTGGAGTATCGCTTTGGCTGTCTGTCTGCTGCCTTTTGGTGTTGAGTGAACTATGGGAACTCCTCTCAAAGGCCAGCTCTCCCAGATGTACCAGATTTCACCTTCTTTCTTACTTAATTTGACCTAATGAGTCAAATGAGCTCTGTTATTTTCTCATCTTAAACAGTAAAACAAAACAACCTAAAATATAATTGTGAAGCTGTGCCTGTCTGTTACTATTACCATATTTCATTGCTCCCATATACAACAAAATTCTTAGAAACACTTCTGTATCCTGTCTCTCATTCTTCCTTTTACTCTCTTAAACCTATTTCAGGTACATTCTCCCATCCCCACACCCACCGCGCACGTCACCTAAACTGTTCTTGTCAAGATGCTAGTCTCCTCATCTTGCTTAGTCTCCTGGTTAGTTCTCGGGCCGCATCTCACTCGACGTAGGAACTGCGTATGATGGAGTTGACCATACCCTTCTTTTTGAAACGCATTCTTCACTTGGCTTTTAGGACCCTTATTTTCTCTTAATTTGCTTCCTTTTCTTCATATCCTGGACTTTTTAATGATAGCGTGCCACAAGGCCCTGACATGGGACCACTTTTCTATATTATCACATACTGGATAATCTTTTCTAGTCACATGATTCTTTGTGCAGCCAACTCTTTATGCAGCCACCTCTTTATGAACCTCTGCTGTAGATTCCAGACATACATGACCAGCTGCCTACTTGATGCCACATTTACATGTGTTCTAGATGTCTCAAACTGAACTCTAAACAGAGCTGCTGAAACTGCCTGCTGATGGGCTTTTCTTTTCTCTTTCCTTTCAGCAGCAAGTCCATTTTTCTGTTTCCACAGGCTAAACCTCAGAGTGCCAGCCCTTACAAACTGACACCTCTCATCTAGTATCCAGTCTGTTAGCAGATCCTGTAAGTTCAGTCTTTAAGTCGGTTTAGCAAGGAAACACTTCTTAGTTCCTCCACTGCTATCGCTTCAAAGTTATTTCATTTCTCACCTTTATTTTGTGGCAATAATTTCCTGCTTTGATCTCTTTGTTTTCATGCTTGCCTTTCTTTTGTCTATTTCTAACCCAGTACCTTATATCAGTCAAATCATACCTGTCCTCTGTTTAAAATCTTCAGATCCATCTGACTCCAACCTAGTAATTCATTAGATTTCACAAGGATAAATCGGCATACTTTTCCACTTTTACTGACCCGTCTCATCCCCTCAATTTTTGTGGCTCTTCATAACTCCAAACCCACTTCCATTGAGTTGATTCCGACTCATAGTGACTTCACATGGGGTTTCTGGGGTTATACATCTTTATGGGAACCAGTAGTCTTATCTTTCTCCCATGGAGCAGCTGCGGGGTTTGAACTGCCAGCCTTCAAATAGCAGTCCAGTGCACACTCAGCACCTCAAACTCATAGCAAGGTAAGCTTTGTTATACTCTCTGCAAGGTTGTACCTTTCCAATCATAGTTACCCAAGTTTGAAACAAGGGAATGCCATACTCACTGTTCAGGCACCTTCCTTAAGCACCTGGCTGCTAACTGGAAGGTTGGCCGTTTGAACCCCAGCCCCTCCCCTGGCCGGTCACTCTGGAAGAGAGATGAGGGTGGCAGTCTGCTTCTGTAAAGATCAAAGCCTTGGTAACCTAGGCAGCCCTTACACTTTGTTCCCTAGGGTCACTATGAAT